CGTGGAGTCGATCGAGCTGCTACGCCTTGGCTGCCATTGTGGGGCCCTCAGGCGCATTAAGATTTGAAGGCCCTCTCGCGTGAGTCTGAGAGCAACTCTCCTGGATCTGAGATTCTGAAACCCTCTACTTCTGCCCTTCTTGCTCTAAGTCTGGTCCTTTGGATCTGAGAGGAAGGCGGCAGGCGGGCGTGTGGTCCGTAACCCGCGCCAAGGTCTTTGTGGGAGGTTGCCCCACCGATTGCAGAAGCTCTGCCGGGACTCGGGCGGAGTCCTGGAGGCAGGGAACTGAGTGGTAATCCCTTGACTCCCTCTATAAACCCAATTATAACCCCTATCTGTACGTCTTTCTATGGCTTGACTGAGCGTATTGTGTGAATCCTGTACTTGGTTTTGAGTTTGACTTTCAGGACATAAGTCAGACAGAAGTAAAGGAATGTGTGTGTAAGTTCAACTTCGGACCTTGTTTGGCTGCCTGAAAGCGGATCGTGGATAAGGGGGTTGCATCTGGGGGAAGGTTGGGAGAAAGGCAATATTGTATGCCGTCTGGTTGGGTCATTGGGGCTGGGAGATCCCCTTAAGTTTGGGGAAGCCCAGCGCTTTGTTTATTTTTGGATTGCATGGAGCCTCAGGCCGCTCTATAAGCTTAGGTAGCCTGAAGCCCTGGATTCTGGGATGTCCCCATAAGTTTGGGGAGACCCAGTGCTGTGAACTGTATGGAGAGTTAGCACGCTCTAGAAGTTTAGGTGACTTGACTGCTCTGGCTTGTGAGGGTTTGACTGTGGGTGACTTTTAGGGACCCAAGGCGCTCTATAAGTTTAGGTACCTTGGGTTGCCTTGTTTTACTTGGGGTTCTCTCAGTTTCTTTGGTTCTGAATGAGGAGGTCTGAACCGCTCAATAAGTTTAGGTGATTCAACCCTTCTCCTGTTTTGTTCTGAGGGAATAACTCTGGAAGGAGGCAGGCCGCTCTATAAGTTTAGGTAGCCTGTCCCACTGCCTCGCACAGACTGGACCAGAGAGAAACGAACCTGGCAGGGGATCCGACCGCTCTATAAGTTTAGGTAGTCTGACCCAATGCCCCGCACATGTTGAAACCCAAAGGATATAATCAGATTATACTATATTACTATGCTATTAAGAACACGCTAGTCAGACCGCTCTATAAGTTTCTGTAACCTGACTATAGCTTATCACAATGGAAGAGAGTATAACTAAGAGGTATAACTGAAGGTAAACCTGGGCAGGTTGAGCAGTGTTCTAAGTTGAGCGGCTCAGCCCTATGTCCCTTTGGAAGACTAAGTTCAGAGAAGTATATATAACTTGGCTATTTAAACAGTTCAGGGCGACTAGAGTGGTCTATTCATACGCCCAAAGAAGAAAGAAGTAGTGGTGCCCTCTGTTTGTGTATACCTGACCAAGTCAGAATGCTCTATAAGTTTAGGTATTCTCACTCTGGGCCTTGCTAAGTTGGGTGCGCTCTGTAAGTTCAGGTGCCCTGACCTATGCCTTATGTAAGTTGGGTATAATAGGATAACTCACAGAGGGAGCATGAACGATTGTTTGTTAAAAGGCTTGGGATTGGTGAGAGTACATACCTGTGTGGTTTGACCTGCATGTGGCTGAGTGAGATTACTACTTGGTCTGAGTTTCAGGTTGATAGGTAGTAGCTTTAAAGGCTCGCTACGTGCTAGAGCGATAGGAGTTAGGTCAATTCTTGCATTTTCTGAGTTGACTTTATTTTACTTAGATCGATTCTTGCATTTTCTGAGACTCGCTATTATACTTGGACTTGTATAAATTTTGGTAAGCTACTTTCTCTACGGGAAACGTTGCCGAAATTTTTACAGATTCAAGGAGTTAGACAAATTTTGACTTGTCAAAGTTCAGCCTGTCTTTTCGTTATATCTTACTCAGTAAAAATCTGAAAAGCCTCATTTTTTAAAGGAGTGCTGCCCAAATTTTTGCTAAGTCAGGGAGTTAGATAAAATTGGGTTTTGGGAAGTTAAAGTTAGTCTCAGGTTTCAGACTTAGCCTTGTGTAAATTTTGGGAGAGCGCTTTTCTAAGTGGAGTGCTGCCGAAATTTCTGTAAAACTAAGGAATTAGTCAGATTTTGTCTAAGTTGAACTCAAGGTTAGGGGCTGAGTCCAAATTTGGCTTGGTATAAATCTGGGAAATCCCCGATTTCAAAGGGGATGCTGCCCAAATTTCTACTAATTAAGGGAGTTAGACAAAATTTGACTTTCTAGAGTTATAGATTACTCCTGCTTTTGATACCTGAGCTTATATAAATTCTGAAAAGGCACTTTTCCTACGGGAAGCTCTGCCGAAATTTTCTTGAATTAGAGGAGTTAGATTATATTTTGACAGGTGGCGATTCTGACAATCCACCCTTAATAGGGGAGATTCAACCATTAGTCTACCTTTGCTTTGGGCACTGGCTTAGAGGCAGGTTTTAACTTAGTTGGCAGGGAGCTTTGAGTGAAAATGCGCTATGGAGGTTTATCCCCTATATGCTGATGATTTAACTTGGGCATTTGACCTATCTTGTGTTACAGGTCCTTTGGGGTGTCTGATTCAAGATCAGGACTAGAGTCAACTTGATCCCCCGAGGATCACCTTCTGTTATCACTGATAATAGGTCGGTTGCCGATTCGTCGGTCTTCGACTCAATTCCAACTCATTCCCCATACTCAACCTAAAAGGCTTTAGCCCTGATGGTTTTAATGTTTGTTAAGGGTTTCACCCAGACTTTTATTGAATGACCATTTAACAAAGGTACTGAGCATTTAATTGAGGTTGGTTGGATCGGCGGTTGGGGCTTGCATGGCTAAAGCGAAGGGGTATGAGCATAGAGAATGATCGGGGTTGACTCCGTGTAGTGCGTGCTTGTTGTTTGATTCTTGATGTGATTGCAGGTATGTCCCGTGACTCACATTTTGGATTTGGATTGCCCGCGATCCCATATACATACACATGGTTGTGAGGAGTCCCAATGTGCCTGTGAGAAGTGATCGTCGCAACTCTATCTCCTTATGCGTGTATGCGCGGGTGGGCTTGTGATGAATATTTAAGAGGCCTAAGAGGCCCATGGTAAAATCCCGATTAAAGGCTGAGGCTGAGGAACAGGGAAGACCGTCCCTTCTGCCTATTTGCGGCTTGAGGTTTTCTTAGTCGGACGTTGGTCCTGGGTCGGGATTCAAGGTCCTTGTCCGGGACATCCCAAGCCCTAGACTCTGCAGGGGAGGAATTTCCCCTCGCACAGAGCCTAATTATTTTGGCCGGCGAGACACCCCACCTTRAAGGCGGAAATGTCGCGGGGGCCGAATGGCATGTCCTTCAGCCGTTCAATATCGTGAGGGGTCACCCCTCGTGATGTGTTCCTTCAGCCATTCAATATCGCGAGGCCGGAACCGCGGTTACCACGTACGATTGGCATCAGTGGTTGGCATAGAATTGGCCTGCGGCCACGCAGCTTTATGTTAAAGTCCCACGCGCGACGCTTCACCGCCCCAGCATCTAAAAGTTATGGGATCGCCGGGCTCGCACGTAGGCGCAGCGCTTGGGATTACCACCCACAGAGGGGAAGGGTGCTCTAAGGTCACGAGTCCTTTTAAAAGCCAGGGGACCTTTGCCATATTCCCTCTTCTTGGGTTCGTGCGTGTTTAGTTTGCTTTTTAGAGATTTTTATGGTTGGACGTTGTAGTCCGTGGCAGCCGTCAAGGTCAAACCCCTTGACTCTCGCCCAGGCCCTGGAGAGGACTTACCCCTAGGGCCGCGAGAGACGACTACCACCACAGGCATGGGCCTGTGTACCACCCACTCTGCATAAGGGTGCAGAAGAGGGTGTGTGGTCTTCAACCGCGCATGGCGGTTGTCTAGCGCTGAGAGATTAACCCTCAAGGTGCGTGTCAGCCGACATTTGAGTGTCGAATACGGCCCTCGAGATTAACGAGGACCGCATGAGTATGGGTACTACATAGTACACCATCATCGCGACTGCTTGCGCACATTTGCATTGCAAGTCGATATGAGATAGCCCCACGTCCGCACGGTTTTATATCGGGTCTCGCACGTGACGCCTATCCGATTTCCGCGTCGGAAAAGTTATGGGTTGGCTACCGAGGGGCTAGGAGCGTTATCGCATTGTTCGTGTTGTGTTGTCTTGCGTGTGTGCGTGGGCGTGTATTTTTATTTTATATTTGTTAAGAGTGATGTGCGTTATCGTGTCGTTTCGTATGTGCGCGTGGTGTGTGAGATGCGTCCTAGTCGACCGACGACGAGTCGCGCTTGGGACCTCAGCCTCCCGAGATGTCGGTTCACGTGCGGGTCTGATAGGCGTATTACCGCGCGTACCCCCTATGCTACAGCGAACGAGAAACGCCCTCGACTGGTCCACCTCTGCGATTGCAGTCGATCAGCTTTCGTATTGTGGACTGATAGCTCGGCGGGGATACGCCCACCGATGGGAGGTGACAGCTCCCGTAAGGTGGAGGTAAGTTGTGCCTCACGTAGGCCCTATCCTGTCGTGGGGGCTCGCGAGAGGTATGGCTGGCGCACTCGGCCGGAGCGGCGTAAGGAAGCTCCATTTGCGTATTCGTGTCGAGGTTGGTCCAACTCCTGTGTAACGAGGCCGAGAGGGTCCCGCACTGCCGCGCGCGGTGCCGGACCGATACGCTCGACAGGTGGCGCCGTTGCCGGGGATAACGGAAGCCTACGGTTGTCCCTGGTGGAACGACATCCGGGTATGGGAATGAGGGAGAACAAGGCATATGAGTGAATAAGGGGAAGATTATACGATAAATTGTATGGTGGTCTATATGACTGTGGGTGTGAATATTTGATTGACTGGCGGTTTGGCTGATGGTGTGGATGAGGCGAGTGTATGAGGAGACTTTATGGAAAGGGTAGGCCTTATCTAAGTAGGCCTAAGGAAAACAAGAAGAGAAATGTCTTCCAGGTCTAGTCGGATATTTGAGGGGTCAACCCGGTAGGGTCGTGAGGGAATGAACTGTTGAGTGGGGCCTTTCGTCCTATGGTTTCTTATAACAGGAGGTTTGAAGCCAGAGGTGTCTGATCAAAATGCCAGAGGTGATGGCGGACGGTGGGAGGAGGCTCGTGACACTTGACGACCTCATCGATGCTTTGGACAAGCGCGAGAGGGCGTTAAGCAATGTCCCAAAGGTTGAGACATTCCACTTCAAGGGGGATCGAGTATCTGACAGGTTGGACCTGATAGAGCAGGCGCTGGTAGGATTGTCAGATGAAGTCAAGCTCCAACGGGCCCTAAGGTATGTCTTGCATAGTCACCATCGGGAAGTAAGTAAGGTCGTGGACGCCACGAATGGCAGTTGGATAAAGTTTGGGGACCTGATGCGGAGGAAGTATAGACTGGGGGATGACCTGTTGACCATGGCCAACTTGGAGGCCATGAATAAGGAAGACTTTTCTACCATTGGGGCGTTTGTGCACGAATTTAAGAAGAAGGCGAGGAAAGTGCACGGGATTTCAGAGGAGGCGCAGTGCGCCACATTCTTGGGATTGCTTACGGGCTCGGAGGCCGCAGAATTGACAAAGCATGGGGAAGGGAATGAGAAGCTCACCTGGGCAACTATAGACAAAGGAGTGGAAGAAGGGAGCCTGGACCAGGTGGAGGAGCACAAGATGCGGCTGCAAAGGCGTAAGAGGAAGGAAAGGGATGCTACTGCATCCGGGACCCCAGGGGTAAAGAGAATCGTCACGGATGTGTTGGCAACACTGCGGTATGACAGCGAAGCGAAAATACAGAAAAGGGGGGTGGCGGTGGCCCAAGGCCGGGCGTCTGGAGCAGTGGATGAGGAGGCCGGGCGCGAGGACTAAGGTGGAGGGGAGACGGGCTCCCAAACCCTGACTAAGGCCCAGAGGAAGCAACGTAACCTGTTACTGGGAGAGCAGGGATCAGGGAAGGGGCAGGCTCCCCAAGCCATTGCCGCACCGCCACCTGTCGCCGCGGCCGCGTTAGAGCCAGCGCCAGCAGGGCCATCGCATATGAGGCCGCCACCAGCCTGCGGGCACTGGGTGCCGCATTGTCAGTTTGCGCCCTGGCGCAGCTGCAACCACTGTGTCTCGTGTAGAGGGGGTCAAGCCCACACGGGGCACATGGTCCCCTATTCGGGCCTATCGGCAAGTATGGGCCCCCCGAGCTACCCGGCGACCCAAGGCCAGCCTGTGGCCCAACCGCCGCCCTCCCAGCAGGCCTCGCAAGCTAGTGTGGTCGGGGGAGGGAGTCAAGGACAAGGCGGGCAAGGCAATGGGGGCTGGGGCCAAGGAGGCCGAGGAGGGGGTGGTCGGGGGCGAGGAGGAAATGGTGGGGGCCGTGGGGGTGGTTGGAATAATCAGGGAGTCCAGAGCCAGGGTGGCCAGGGCAGCCAGGAGGGGGGCCAAGGGTATGGGAGGCCCCGTTTCGATTGGCGGAACGCAACTTGTTGGCATTGTGGCGAGGTGGGCCACACCATACGGTTCTGCCAACAACGGCGGGACGATGAGTTGGCAGGACTGATCTCCTCCTGTATGGACGGGGACATATACGATAGGTGAGGAAAGTACATCGATCCCAAGACCCCGGGAGGAATCAGGCAGGAAGCCCTAAGGCGAGCGGCGGCAGGGCCTCCAACAGCCCCAACAATGTTCAGGATATGGCAAGAAAGGCAGGACCCGGGTGTGAGAGTCGAGGAGATTGTGGATGAAAATGAGGAAGTGACTCAACGACTGAAGGCGGGGACTATAAAGGAGGAACCGATAGTCGTTGAGTCAGACGACAAGGAGTTGGAAGTGGTGGGAGAGTCTGCCTCGACCATCCTGGAAAGGATGGAGGACCTGCTTGCAAAGGTCGGCAGGTACCAGGAACGACTTAGAGTGATGTGCGAAGAGGCCCAGAAATGGGAAATGAACCTCCCTGAAGTGATGCTCTATGGATCTGGCCCGGAGTCGTCATCAAGACCGCAAGGGTGTCCCAGCGTGGCGATAGCCGGGGTAGGTCCTAGGTCAGGGATAACCTTCAGGCCCCCTACATCGCATGGAAGGGTACCACAGGCCGCGCAGACTAGGGGCCAAAGTAAGGCTACCACTAGTCAAGGGCCCAGCCAGGCACCTGGCCGGGCGCCCCCTCGAAGGGAACCTGAGCCTGAACGAAGGAAAAAAGTGGTGGAGGTTCAGAAGGAAGAAGAGGAGGGTGATGACGAAGAGGATGAGAGGCTCCGCCAGGAGGAGGACCGACGAGCTGAGCAGAGGGCCAAGAAGAGAGGAGTTCAGGGAGAGGTGGAGCCGAGCCTGCGCGACGTCGCGCCAAAAAGGAAGAAGTACGTGGTCCGGCTAGAGGAGGGCTTTGACGTGGAGTGAATGGTGGACAAGCTCCTGGAAGGTCATAACGATCTGATGAATCTGAAAGATATCTTGGTGTCAGCACCAAGGCTCCGTAGTGAGCTGAAAGGGCGGCTCTCACGAAGGTTAGTGCCCAACGTCCACCTAAGCTCGATTTTGCCCAGGGAGATAGAGTGGACAGAGGCGGATACCGGGATGGATTGAAAATGTGTGGCATGTGGGTTAGTGGATTTGAAGGTGAGGGACCAGCCGAGCATTGAAATGGTGGACACGGGCGCTGAGATGAACATTATCCGGGAGCGAGATACGACCATGCTAGGGTTGGAGGTCGACCATTCGGACCATGGTGTGCTGCATGGCGCCAATTGTAAAGCAATTTTCTGCGGCACCGCGTCTAACGTGATGGTGGAAATTGGAGGGGTAAGGGCACGAACGTGCTTCTTTGTCATACCCGATGTCGACCACCCTATCCTTTTGGGGAGGTTGTTCCTCTGCCGAACGGAGACCTTGGTCTTCAATAGGCACGAGGGGACGATGATCCTGACCCTATCTGATCCGGCCTGTGGGAACTATGAGATCATCAAGTGTCGAAACACAGGACCTAGAAGTGGGAGAAACAGGCTCAACCTCGACTCCTTTACCTTAGAGGAGTCTGATTATGCGCAATGAAGACTCCGGGAGGAACAGGAGGAGGGAGGAGCGGGCGAGGTATTGTCCCTGAGCCTTAATGATGTGAATAAGGCAATGGAGGTGGTAGCAACGCATGATATGGCGGACCCTGAAGCTATAAAGGCATTGAGGGAGCAGGTCCTGGAGAGCCCTCAGGTGGGAGAAGTGGAACTGATCTATCGGCTTCCAGGAAGGAAGGGGGACCCTGTGATGGCCCAGGCCCGAACGACAAGTCGGCCTTTTTTAGGGGAGGGCTTAAGCAGGGCTCCCAAAGGCGGTACAAGACCATAGACAAGAAGTGCCGCCCAATTCCCGTGCTTGTTACAGAGGATGAAGAGGCCTATTATGAGCGGGAACGGGGACTGATCAGACGAATGCGGGAGCGTGCGCAGGCAGGACCGTGTTGAATAAATGATGGGAATGAAGAGGGGCTGATAATTGGCGAGCCTGGCTTCCTTTCGCCCCAGGAAAGGACCTTGATGGTGGAGACCATGAAGAGGAGGCATTGCGCATATGCGTTTAACGATGACGAGCGTGGGAGGTTGGACGTGGATAAGATTCCAACGATACGAATCCATATCGTCCCACACGAGCCGTGGAATCTGAGGGGCACGCGATATCCGAATCCGGATGAGGAGAAGAAGGTGGTGGACTATCTGGACGGGAAAATGTGGACGTACGTGGCAGACTACTCCAGTGGACCGTATGCCTCCCCTTGGTTTTGCTTCATCAAGCCGAACGGGACGCTACGGTGGGTGCAGGACCTGCAGCGTTTGAATGAGGTGACGGTGCGAGACGCGGGAGGATTGCCGAACGTGGACGCCCTGTCAGAGTCATGCGCAAGAAGGCCTATAATTTCACTTATAGACCTTTATTCTGGGTATGACCAATTTCCTCTATACCCGTCGGACAGACCGGTGACGGCGATGCATACGCCGAGGGGGCTGATCCACATGAATGTGGCCCCTCAGGGGTGGACTAATGCGGTGGCGATGGTGCAAAGGCACACGGTTAGGGCCATACAGACGGTTAGTCCACATATTACCCAGCCCTACATTGACGATCTGGCGGTCAAGGGTCCAAAGGAGAGGGAGGAAGACGAGGTGCTGCCTGGAGTAAGACGGTTCGTCTGGAAGCACATCCAGGATATCGATAAGGTTCTGGGCCTGCTGGAAGAGCACAACCTGACGGCGAGCGGCCCCAAGTCGAAGCATTGTATGAGGGAGGCCACGATTCTGGGCTTCGTCTGTAATGAGAAGGGGCGGAGGCCAGATGTGAAAAAGACGGACAAGATCCTAGAGTGGTCAGTGTCCTTTCAGTCGATAACGAACGTGAGGAGCTTCCTTGGACCTGTGGTTTTTGGAGGAGTTTCGTGAAGGACTTCGCCACCAAGACGGAGCATTTGAGGAAGCTGGTGCGTCAGGATCAGGAGTGGGTCTGGGGCGAAGACCAGGAGAAGGCTGTGGAAAGGATGAAGGGAGAGTTCATGGAAGGAGGCTTGGTGCTAGGAGCGCCAAATTATGAGGCCACGGAGGAAAGGCCATCCGTTGTCAAGACGGACGCTGGGCCAACTGCCTTAGGAGGGGTCCTGATTCAGGCAGATGAGGATGGGAAGGAGAGGCCACTAAGGTTTGAAAGTCATACCCTTAATACGATTGAGAGGAACTACTCTCAGTTTAAAAAGGAGACGCTGGCGGTACTCCATTGCCTGAGGACCTTCCAGAATTATATCTTTGGCAGGAGGCTCATTTTGAGGGTGGACCCTACTGCGCTTGCGTGTTCCCTGAAAAGTTATACTCCATCTGACCCAACCATCGCGAGGTGGTTGACCTACATATGGATGTTTAACTTTGAGCTGGAGAGGATTCCAGGGGACAAGAACAGAGCAAATGGGCTGAGCCGTATCAACTGGAACGGGGCGAATCAGGAGTCAATCGAGGATACCCCACCAGTCGACGGGTTCTTGGACTAGGGGGAAGATGTCCGCCTCCACATAAATGAATGGTCGTTGAGGGTGCCTAACTTTGTTACGCATCCCATATGGCTAGCACCAAGAGGGTACGAGCGAAAGGAGGAGTTGGTCCTCAAGCCCTTCCAAGAAGAAGATCTGTGGGGGAGTAGGGATGTTGGCTGGATGATGAAGTTGACATTGGCGGATACACACAGTCTGGCAGAAGAAGTGAGGACAATAGAGGAGGGCCCAACACAGGTAGAGGAGCATGAGCAATTAATGGGAGGGGTGTATTTACTCACTAACACGCTCCTGCAGGGGAACTTTAACCAGAGGGACTCATTTGGTCCTGAGGAGAGTGAACTTCTTGTTCCTGAAAGCCAGGACGATGAGTTCGAAGACGGAGAGATCAGGGAGGCCTTCCGCGCAGAGGAGTATGACGGGATCTATTGGGAGTTGGGGTTACTCCTGTCGTGCGAGATAAGGGATAGAGACGCAAGTGACAAAACCCAGATGATGAGGCATCTCTACGTAGTAAGAGATGACCATCTGTTTATAAAGCGGCCGGTCGGAAACCCCAAGAGGATCGTATGTGGGAGGAACCGGCAGATCGATGTCATAGCAGCCCTACACGATGGTATAGCAGGGGGGCACAAAGGGGTTTGTGCCACGTGCGCAAAGATAAGCGAGTTATACCATTGGGATGGAATGCTGGCTATGGTCATAAAGTACTGCTAGTCCTGTGTACCTTGCCAGCAGAGGTCAGCGCAAAGGCCTGGGGAGCCTCTGCACCCCAGGTTGGAAAGGGAAGTGGGTGCGGTCGTGCACCTGGACCTGCTGTTTATGCCACTCAGGGAGGATGGAAGTAACTATATCTTCGACGCACGGGACAACCTTACCAGGTTCGTGGACGGTCAGGCTATTCGTACAAAACTGGTCCAGTCTTAGCAAGGTGCATCAAAGAATACTACCTACGCTATCTGTTTGTCAGAGAGTTTGTGATGGACCGGGGGTCGGAGTTCACCTGTAACGAGGTGCGGACCTTACTTGCACGGTATGGCGTGGTGGCAAATTATACTACTGCCGCGCACCCCCAGGCGAACGCACCTGTGGAAAGGGGGCATAGTACCATCACGAATCTTCTGGCCAAATGGACTGAGGGGAGGCCTAACCAGTGGCCGAAGTTCCTGAGAGCAGCTTTCTTCGTGGAAAATGTTACAGTGAAAAGGACTACCAAGTATGCGCCAGCCACGCTATGGTACGGAAGGTATGCCACCTTTCCCATAGAAAGTTTCATGAAGACGTGGAGGCGCTAGGACCTGGAAGTGAACCTGTCTTTTGAAGAACTGCTCGATATACGGGCGCGGCAGGTGGGAGCTGCTGAGGAAAGGTTGCGAGAGGCCACTGGTCAGGTAGAGAGAAGCTGCATGGAAGACAAGATGAGATGGGACCAGATGGCCCGGGTAAGAAAGGATCCGCTAAAGGTTGGAGATGCGGTACTGCTGTATGACTCCTCGCTGGAAAAACAATGGTTTAGGAAGCTCGACAAACGATGCCTGGGACCCTATAGGATCGTGCGGTGCAGCGAGTTTGGGGCCTACCAAATTGAAGAGCTGGATGGGGCGGGGTGGCAGGACTGGGTATCAGGGAGAAGGCTGAAGAAGTTCGTGGCCAGGGAATAGGTAAGGGACCATGAGACCTCGTTAGGAATAGAGTCTTGCCCAGAAATTACCCATGTCAGGTGATTAGATAGATGGGTGATTGGGGTGGATGGGTGTGGAGTGTATGTGGGATTTCCCTAAGCCAATGGGCTCAGTTGCTGACCCTGTTGTGTGCCTGTTTGTTGTCTCTCGCCTGTTGGCAGTCAAGCAGAGGGGCGGGAGGGACACACGACCACGCCAGGGGCCCCAGAGGGCAGCAGGAAGGGGCGAGCAGCGTGAGTCGCCTAGGAGGGAGCCTACGCCAGAGTTCGACGACGATAACATTCAGCTCTTCCTGGACGTGTATTGGGATCATGCGGCACAGAGAGGGTGGTCAGTGGTGGAGAGGATTCACCACTTGAGGGGTATAGGGAGGTTTGAGGAGCCTGTTGCTCAGATATGTGAGGAGGCCCTGACTTGGCCAGATGTGGAGGCCGGGATGCAGAGGTTGAGAGCTTCCCCTAGAGGACGTAATGGCATATGCCCATTCGATTGGAGGAGGGGAACGCGGAGGAGTTTATTCCCGCATATGAGCATTATATGCTCAGCCAGGGGATTGCGCGGGAGGAGTGGGCACAGGCCCTACTTATCTGGACAAGGGGGGCTGAGAGGCCCGTGGCCAGACAGATCCGGGAGAGAGCTCGAGATTGGGAGGACTGCCAGGCCCAGCTCAGGAAGGCATTCGGAAAGCCAGAGCGCGAGAGGCCCGAGCCCAGGGTCGAGAGGCGGAGGCAAAGCAAGAGGCCAAGGTAACCAGCACCGAGGGAGGTGGGGCCGACTAGAGAGAGGAGGAGGGCCCCAGCACAGCGGGAGCATGAGCCCGCGAGACCCGCACCAGAAGAGGAGTTGTTCCTTGCTTGTGGTCTTCGGGCAGTTGAGTTTCGGCGGATCACGAGCGAGGAGCTGAGGCCGTCTTCACCGTCGCCATCAAGGTTGGAGCTGGACATACCAGGGGAGACGCCATTCCGGAGCTTAGCGACTCACCTTGATGTATCTCGATGGGAGGCCTCACGGTTGGGAGAGGGCTCAGCTGAGCCGGTGCGCTATGTACCGTTAGAGGAGCCTCTGGACCTCGAGATTGAGACGGACATGCGAGACCAAGAGGGGCCGCAAGGCCCTGGGATGGCAGTTGAGCAGCCAGGTCCGGTACGGCCTCAAGATGAGGAGGTGATCACGGTCGGAGACGATACCCCTCCATGCTCCCCAGCTCCAGAGCCAGCACAACATTCACGGCCAGAGGGGATTCCTGAGCCAGACAGTGAAGAAGTTCCGGAGTTTCCCCCAAAGACCACTGCGGTGCCTGAGCAGGAGGCAGAGATGGAGAAGTAGGGGGCTGGTGAGGGAGCGAGGATGGAGGCGATTCACGATTCACCCTCAGTCATGCCCGCGACTGAGCGCCCAGCTATCGAGGAGCCTGTACTGGAGGGGCTACCGCCGGCATTGCCGAGTACGAGCGAGAGGATGGGTGCCGAGGCGTCGACTCCGGAAGGCCAGGGGCCGCAAGGGAGGGGAACCTCAAGAGAAACCCACGAGGAGAAGTCCGCCAGAGTGCGAGTCCGTCTGGATGAGATACACGCGAGGCAGGCTGAGATGGAGGTGGCAGGGATAGAGCCGACACCGCCGGTCGATCCCAAAACGAGCGAGCAGCGGATCGGCGAGTTGTGGGCAAGGTACAAGAGCTAGAGGGACGCGGCCCGCCAGAGATCACGAGAGACCGGGCAGGCGAACGTGGAGGCGGGTGAGCTGAGGGAGATGGGAGACTTGGGGTTCTCTGCGACTAGGATGTCGATTGAGCGTGTGGACAAGCAGATATGCAACACGGCAGTTACATCCTTTCAGTGGTATAGTTTACTCAGCGGTGAGCTCAGGGTCAGAGAGATGGAGGTGGAGCACCTGACTACTCAGCTTGCCGAGGAGAGGGCGAGGAACCAGGCCAGAAAGATTGAGTGGGAGAAGAGATTTAGGGAAATAGCAGCAATTGTGGACAGGCTCTCGGCAGCCTGGGAGGCTAGCTGGACGGGACGAGTCGGTGCCGATGGCCAGGACCGAGGGATGCGGGCTTCGCCAAGCCAGGGAGCAGCGGTGGGGGCCCCTCGGCAGGCTGGGCCAATGGGGGAGGTGCCTCTGGATACGGCCAAAGAAGAGGGTGGCACCCAGGAGTCACTTATGGCAATGTCCACGAAGAGAAGAGACTCAATTTTGCATGAGCTGGCAGCAGCCATGGGGATAGGTACACCGCAGGAGAGGCCTCAGAGGCTTGATACCCCAGGCTACACCCCATGGCTGGGAGAGTTGAGGGCGGAGTTGGGCTCGTGGGCCACAGAGACGGACTCAGGAGGACCTGACTTAGGGCGGGAGCAGCAACAGGATATCGTGAGTGAGCCGGCCGCCGTGGCGGGCTCGCAACCGTCAGGATCATGTGGCGATGTGGAGGCGACGGAGAGGCCTCACGAGGAGAGACCCCGAGAGTTGGGCACGCCAGGCCACGAGTCAGTGAGCACTGCCGTGCGAGGGGGTGAGAACGCTGAGGCTATGGAGTCCGAACCTCGGGGCCATATGGGGGTACCATTATGCCACGAGGTGACCGCCGAGACCATGGGGACGCCGTCAGCATCGAGCTCCAGGGGGAGAAAGAAGAAGACTGTCAGGTGGCACGATACCTCCTGCTTTTGGTGCAAGGAGGAAGGGCATAGAGTCGTGCACTGCCCAGAGCTCCTCGAGGATAAGGCCGAGGGGCGGGTTGCAGAGGTCGACGGCAAGTTCTATGACAGATAGGGTAGGATAGTGGAGCGAGCTCCAGATGGGGCAGGGCTCAGTTATACAGGCAGAACCAGGAGGAGTTGGGTGAGTAGGGACTGGTCTGTCTATGTGTCAGTAGGGTCAGGGTATTTGGCACACAGAGGGCGGGTTGGAGGTGTATATATGTTTAGTTGGCTGAGGGGGTCCTAGATGTGTGCATACTTTAGAGATGGTAGGATGAGTCCCTGCCTGCTTATATATACATAGTTGATTGTGTTTTCCTTGAGCTTTCTTTCACGGGCTACGGCTTAGGGCGTGAGGGTCGGCGGTAGGACACATAGGACTATTCAGTCCATTCTTGGTTTCGCGATGCAAAGACTATTCGAGTTTTGAGAGAGACTTGGGTATGAGTTTCCCTAGTTGGGTGAGACAGGGGGGTTAGGCGTCCATTATATTTTATGTAGATGTTGTGTCCCGAGCGTGTTCCGCGAGTGTACAGTGGGGTCGGGAGCCATGCTCAGATGGACAGAGTTTGAGTTGAGTGTTTGTGTTTGAGTCTTGAGGGAGGCATTCTACTCCCTGAGTGTATCATGAGTTGAGATTCTATGGGACTTGTCTTGTGACGACCACTATCACTCTCACATGTGTGGCTTTATCCTGATGTATAATTGGCTTTGCGTGAGAGGTGTGCAGGATGCATCTCATGGACATGATTGTGTAAACTGTAGAGCTGTCTACCCTCCGGTATACTCGTGCGGTCTGCTTGCAAGCGGACGAGAGGGCAGAGTATAAGGAGGGGGAGTGCAGCCTGTTTGTGAAAAATTGTGAGAATCCTACGGGATTGATGAATTCAGAAATTTGCATGCTTGGTCATACTAAACACCGTTGCCTAAGTTGTACAAGGACCCAGAAGATGGTCCCTCGGGTTGAGTTGTTTGCTGATTAAGACCCCCTCCATGGTTTTGGAAGGTGGGAGTTGTGTTATTGTTGGGGCCTCTTCATGGTTTTGGAAGAGGCCGCGCGAAAATTCATCCCGAACAAAGAGGGGGAGGGGTGAATACGGGATCTTTTGTGAGAGGCACCCTTTACTAAGTAAGGGTGGGTAAAAATTGACTGGTATGGAAAGCATTGTTTGTGTTGATAAAGCCTGACGAGAGGGAACCATATTTGCTTGAAATGTTTGAAAAGGGCGAGAAATGCCTCAGGATGAGCGACTGCTGGCTCTGATCAAGTCAGGAGCCACAACCTTCTGGATCCGGCAGGGAGACTGTTTGTGATTGAGAGAAGGATGTCGTGCCTATTATAGGAGGGCCGGTAATTGCCTTCAAACCCCCTGCGTAGTCCTGCAGCGGCCTGTGAGTTGTTTGTGATGCCCCGCCTGGCCACCTGTGCTAATTCTGAGACGTATTTAAAGGAATACCAAGCTAACGGTAAAGCTTAGTACCACCTGGGCGCAACCACTAGTGGATGGCTGCAAGCCGGCACAACCTAGCTGCGGGCCCGCAAGGTAAGAGTTTAAGGGGAGTTGCCCGCCCCAGGGAAATTACTTCGCGGGATAAGAGTCGAGTCCTTTCGAGACCCTGATTGATTGATTATCAGGGACATACCTGTCGTTGTATAACCAACGGGAGGATACCACCGCTAAGGTAACAACGCGGTGGGCCGTAGACCTGGCCCGATCAGCCAGGCTACGGTGGGCCCAGATGGGGACCTGACATTTCTATACTAGACTGCAGAAAAGGCCGAGAGAGGCTACAAGCTTATACATGTGTATTTTGTTTGATTGTGAGGAATATGATGGAAGAAGGCAAAAAATGTCTTCATAGGTCCCATTCGAAGCCCGCATCCCTAGTTATGGCTCTGCTTACGAGAAAGAGACTAACTGGGACACCCAACGAGAGGCCGACGGTTGTCCAGGACGAAAGGGAAAGAGGATGGTTTGAGGGTCTTTGGAACTTATGCTGTAGTATTGATGCGTAATACACCGGTGTCCTGGTGTCAGGACAATGGGGACCCAGGTTGAAACCCTGACAGCATATAGTTGTGTTGGCACGGTTTGATAGAGGCCTCAACCCTGAGTCTGTCGGCTAATCGGATTGGTTCTAATCTCGTCAGCATTTGGAATGTGAAGAAATCTATAGCTTTTGATTTGGCGACGTGAAGGGGACGTCGCTTAATATGGTCCGGTAAGTTGTCGGCGCGAATACCCTTACAAGGGTATCCGCCCTAGGTTTTGCAAGTGACAGAAAGGCTCGGTCAACCTGGATTTTGAGTGCCCGTGCGGGAAAGTGCGAGGGTCGTCCGCACGCGGGCAAAGGTCTGTCTTGTTCCGGTAGGGGGTATGTGGGTGCGCAATTTTAAGGCGCGCCTGTGATTTTTCTGATTGAGTGGGCGGCCGGGGTAGCCGACCGACTCGGACCGGGTGACGGGCTTGGTTAAGGGGGTGAAAGCTCGCTTTGGTCGGCACGTGCGACCGGTGGTGGCGCGCAGGCCGGCGCGCGGGATGGCTATGCCGCAGGATGTTAGGCCGGCGCGGGCACTTAGGGGCCGTAGGTACAAATGTGGGTTGAAGGAGTGGCCGGGGCGGTACCCTGGCCCGAAGCGCCATGCGATGCCACTTTATGTGGGAGGCCGCGCTGGTGCATTCCAAGCTTGGGCTTAGCCCTATTGGTTACGGTGTTGGACTGTTGCTACGGAGGTACGGGGATCGAGGCTGGCGGACGACAATGTGGGAGTAGTGGAGCAGTGAGAAAAAGAGGGGTCGAGGGTCCCGCAGGACTATCCCCCTTTTTTTTGTTTTGTCGGAAGAATCCGCTTGCGGGCCTGCGCCGCGGGGCTAAGGGAACTTTGGCAGAGGCCGCAGCCGGCCCTTCCTTTTCGTCACTGTGGGGCCATTTTTGCTTTTATGGTCCTTTCGGCACCAAGACTTAAAATCGGTCGTAAGCCTGAGGGCCTGCCACGACCGGTATATTCGTGAACTGTTGGAGCAAAGATCGTGATGATGGCGCTCGAAGGGCAAAACCGAATACCTTTCTTGAGGCCTGCCTTGGGGTTGGTCAGTCTGCTAGAGGCGCCCCAAGGCTGGTGTGTGGTTTTGCCCCGGGATAATTATCGCGGCCAGGGTAATGCGGAAAAGCCCGGGGCCGCCTGTACCCTGTGGCTGACTGGAGGAAGAGACGAAGGGGGGGGCTTGCATAGGCCATTGTGTGGGTGCGAGTTCCGGGAGTGAACCCGGGCGGGGGTCGTGACTTGGGCCACGCCCGACAGGTACGGAGCAGAGAATCCCTTTAGAGGGGAAGGAGATTTGAGGTACGAGGAAGATTAGCACAGCCCCACAGGGAGGTGGTATCCCGGAGTGAACCCAGACGGGGACCGGGCTAAGGGTGTGCAAAAAGAAAACGAGAGGGGGATCGTTGTACTAGAACTAAATCTTTGTGGCTTCCTCCCTCTTGCTTCCGAGGCCGTCCAACTTGCTGACGCGGCCGTTGGGTGGGGGGTTTGGCTGGCCGCTGTATAAGTCTGGAGTGGACCCGGACGCGAATCGCACCGGGTACAGACGAAAAGGGGGGATTCGGGCCGATACAGAAAAGATTAGCATGGCCCCTGCKSAAAAATGATACGCATAGATCCCGAAAAGGAGGCCGGGTTCGCGTGCCGAGGTAGGGCGAGGCTRCAGCCGCWCGGGCAGGCGTTGCCACGGTCGAAGCCCCTCGGGACATTCGTGAAAACTGGAACGATACGAAGAAGATTAGCGGGGCCCCTGCGTAAGGACGACATAYGTGAACTGGGAGAGAGGGGGAYGCGTATGSCCGAATCTGGTCTCAAGAAGGAGCCAGGTCCGTGCGCCACGATGTTGAGGCATAGTGATACYGGGAATTGCCCGAACTTGGAGAGGGCGAGTCCGTCGGGGCATCCGCGAAAGCTGGAGTGATACCGAAAGGGGGGAAGTCTTTGTGCGGCCCCTGCACTAGACTGCGGAGTATAAGTTGAAGAGGTGTCGTTGTCGTCGGGTTGTTTTGACTCCGCTAGGACCGAGGGCTGTGGGCCGCTCAGCCGAAGCGCGCCGATTTTGGGGACGTCAACACGGCGGGGTGACGAACGAGGATTTGGCGAGTGAATCCGGGCGTGATTTGGGGCCAGGTGCGAGTAGGTGAAGAAGCGGGAGTTGGGGAAAGTCGTACCTTGCTCAACTCCCCGTGGAATCGGGCGGGAGACGATGGTAGGTAGGGGTTTTCGGCCGAGACGAACACAACGATGGGGTTATTTTCCGCGTTGGGGTGGTGTGTAGCGAGGTAGGGGAGGAATGGGTTGCGCCGAGACTAGGGCGGGAGAAGGAGCCAGGCGCGGTTGGGGAGACGGAGTGCCCGCGAACTTGGGTGGAATCGAGGGGGACACAGTGGAGGGTAGGAACTTCGAAGAGCGAATCGAATGAGCGGTGTTAATCCCGGGGTTAGTGGTTAACTTTCGCGTTGTGTTGGTAGTGGGCAGGCGTTGATGAGGGGGTCAGGGCGGGTGCAGTCGGGGAAGGTGGGGCGAGGCAGACAGGGCGCAGTGAGGGAGAAGCGGGCGCTGCATAGGGAGTGAAAGATAGAGCAGCGGACAGCGCGGCGCAGGGCAAAAGCGGATAGCAGAGCGAGCAACGGACAACGGGGCTGGCCGGGCGGTTTGGCGCGGTGCAGCAGTAGGGGGGGGACGAGCTGCGGGGAGGGACGTAACTGGTGAGTGAAATTAAGAAGAGAGGGGTGGAGGTGATACGGTGAGGCATCTACCTGGTCTTGATGTTGGCCTATAAGGTCCGCGTCTTCATGCTCCGGGGCTATGTATCCCCTGCGGTCATGACCGCGGGGTCCATCTCGGCCAGCGGTCGGGATCCCAACCGTTGAGGTCGGACCAGCGGTTGGGTGCGGCCGAGAATTTCACACATTTAAAAAATATATATATAATAGGCCAAAAAAAAAAAAACAAATGGGGTTGTAGGGTTTGAAGAGACCTACAACGCGGTAATTTTTGTTTCTGGATTATAAAGTGTTTTCTTATTTTAAAAAAATAGAAAACAAAAAAAAAA